AGGGTGGATGAGCATGGAAAGAAGGAATAAGTGAGAGAAGGAAAGAGCAGGGAAGGAGGGGAGCTAGGGAATCACAGAATGGTGGGGTTGGAAGGGACCTCTGGAGATCATCTAGTCCAACCCCCCTGCCCAAGCAGGTTCACCTAGAGCAGGTTGCCTAGGACTGCATCCAGGTGGGTTCTGAATATCTCCAGAGAAGGAGACTTCCACAAGAAGAGCTATCCCCAACCATCCCCCAAACCAGGATCCACAAAGACCCACAGTCTGGGGTGAAATTCTCCTGTCCCCAGTCACCATGCCCTGATCCCAGCACGGGCAGGGTGGCTACAGGTGGCTCAGTGCCCATCCACTGTCCCTCAGGGTTGGGAAGGGTCAGACAAGGAGAGTGATGGCAAACCACATGTGTGTGCAAATTAACATGCAGCCCTGTGGTCACTGGCATGTCCCTGGCTGTCCTACCACAGCACTGGTCTGGACATGCCTCCAGCCCAGCCCAGCACCTTCCCTTCTCCACTGGGCACTGCAGAGATGGGCTGAGAACCAGAGCTGAACCCAGGTGTCTCTGCAGTCAAAGCCCCCTCCCCACAAACCCAGCTCTGGGCAGCATTGCTGGTCTGTGTTCCCATCTCCAGCCTATGGCACCGAGCAGGTCAATAACTCTCGTGTCACAGGATGAGGGCCAGCTGCCAAATTTAACAAAAGCAAAACAAACATTTAATAAAATAGGTCCTCTTTAAAAAACAACCAAACAAAACCAACCTGAAGTGAACTCTGTGGACTGAACTTGGTTTTCTGGAACCAGGAACCTGCAGCTGCTCTGCCTTGTCCTACCTGTGGTCACAGTATCAGCCATTCCCCTGCGATGCGTCAGTTGGTTTAACACACACGATTCCCACTCCAGACGCTCCTCGCGTGCCTGATGAGGCTTTAATAAGTCCTGCTGACCCACTCATTATCTCTGAGGCTCTCTGCATCCCTCAGCCCTGTCTCTTGTCTTACTTAACCTTCATCATTCCGATTCCCTCAGGCAAATGCTGATTCGTTGTTTATGCTTCATACATTACCCATACTTAATAAACAGCAATTACTTATGGCATCTTGATAAATAAATTATTCTCCTATGTATATCCATATTGAGCCAATAACCCTAAAAGATGATTTTCCAGATGGCTGAGATAAATCTCAATGTATCAAGGGAAGGGTGACAAAGACTCTCCAGGTTTGTCTGCAAAGGTTTAAGCACCTCTGTGATGGTTTAAGTCACCCTGTGACCATCTCCAAACCTCAACCTACCAAACAACCACACCGTAGACTCAGAGCAACACCTTGCCTTGCTCCAGACATATACAGAATGGGAGATCCTGGGAGCACTCAGCATCTTTGGATGGTGATGACTCCATGCAAATGGATCAGGAGACAAGCTAGACCAGGCTCCAAGGACACAGGCAGCAACACTATGGGAGCAGGAAGACAGAGGAGTTTAGGTTGGAGGTGACTGGACCCTTCCTTGCATCCTCCAGAACCTTCTCCACCTTAGAATCACAGAATGGTTTGGGTTGGAAGTGACCTTCAAAGGTCATCTAGTCCAACCCCCCTGCAGTGAGCAGGGACATCTTCACTACAGCAGGTTGCTCAGAGCCCCATCAAGCCTGACCTTGAATATCTCCAGGGATGGGGCCTCCACTACCTCTCTGGGCAACCTGTTCCAATGATCCACCACCCTCATACTGAAGAATTTTCTCCTCATATCCAACCTAAATCGACCCTTTTCTAGTTTAAAACCATCACCCCTCATCTTATTACCACCTTGTCACCACCTTCCTCTTGTCCCCATCCTATTTTAGCTTGTTTTGCCGTGTAGCCAAGAAGGCTGGCGCCAGATCTTCAAGCCCATTTTACAGACCAGCCCATTCCAAATTGAACCAAATACCTGGCCAAGGAGGAGCATCGACAACATCGGCAGGAAGGGAAGAAACACCCTGACTCAGCACTGCCTCTCCCACAGGGCAGGGAAGACAGCAAGGGACAGAAATATGCAGCAAGGCTTTGGTTGCCACTCTGTAAAGCAGCCCTACCTTCTCCATCCTTGAGAAGACAGCATGGGGTGACAGGTTTCTCCACTGCTAAGTGCACCTATGATAGCAAAGAGCAGTAGCATTTCAGTGTCAGGCTGTTGAAATTAGACTGAAATTCAGGTCCCCTAGGACCCAGCAACATGAGCAGCAGTGTCTCCTCCTAACTCGATAAACTTGGATCCCCATCTCACCCCTCTGCCTACCAGGTGGGACAACAGGAGCTTCAGCCTCTGTACCCAGAAAGGAGATGTTAGAAAGCAGGTTCATCCTCTCTCTGTGAGCTCTTCCCAAACATCCTCACACCACTTCTCAGCAGAGATGACCACTTCCAGCAGAGATGACCACTTTCCTTAGAGGGTTATTGCAAATTATAACTATCCTTCTGGAAGGAGGCAGGATTTTGAAAAGCTTTGCTCATCTCAGAGCAGAGTGATGCTCCCATTAGAAAATGGCTTTTCACCCTGCCTTTCCCAAGCATTGAAGGCAGCTTTAATCCTAAACCATCATCCTGCTGCATCTTTCTGTGGCAGAATGATTCGTCTCCCCCACCAGCACCTAAGAAGGAGGATGTGGGATATAGTACACAATGCTAAAGAGGAACCAGCATTGGAAGGGGTTGCCCAGGGTAGTGGTGGAGTCCCCATCCCTGGAGGGATTTCAGAGTGGTGTAGACATAGTGCTGAGGGACATGGGTTAGTCGGGGACTTGTCAGTGTTGGGTTCATGGTTGGACTTGATGATCTTAAAGGTCTTTTCCAATCCAGGCAATTCTGAGATTCTGAACTCAAAAGGCACCAAGTAATTAGATCGGATCACCAGGAGAAAGAGTTTTTTGTGCCATCCTGCACCAGGAGATGCCATTTCAGCCAAACTGGTTATCTTCACAGGCTGGATCCAGTGTTAGAAAGTTCATTTCAAGGAAAAAACAAAACAAAACAAAACAAAAAGTGGGGGGAGGAGAGAAAAAATTGATACTTAGAGGAGAAAGGAGCAGGGATTGATGCTCAGCAGATGTGGTTGCCATTGTGATGACCAGCAGCTCTTCTTGGGATCTTGCACAACAATATCCCGCCTAGCTCAGTACAGAACACTGCTCCCGGACGCTATTAAATTGAACGAGCCTAGTTCCACCTCTATCTCCTTCCCTCAGAGGGATCTTTCCTAGGGAGCCATCACACCATCACAACTACCCTCAGTACCAGATGAAGCAAAAAACCTGCCAGGTGACCCCATGACCTGATGTTAATCAGGAACACTGATGTGCCTTCAACCACAAAGCCACAAACAAGCAGCCCCACGATGAGACAGATCATCTCACCTCACCTCCCAAGAGCCAGGAGCTTTGGCATCACCCAGCCATGAATTTTGTTTTAATCCTTAAAAATAAACTATCAGGATGAAAAGTGAAAAGTCCTGATGAGGATTCAGTTGAGTGAGGGACTTGGTATTCGAATGGATCATTAGGGGAAACATTTTTCCCTGGAAAGGGTGTTTTGGTAAAAACACACCATGTGAAAACACACTGGTTTTGGGAAAAAACCTGAAACTAGGCTTGAAGGAAAGGTTAACCTTACTGGAACAGGTCATTGTCCTTCTGAAGTCCTTCTTAAGACAGAAACTACTACCTCATCAGCTATGTTTCTTGTTGAAGCAGGTCTGTGACAGATCCAAGCTTTCTTTCACTTCACTTGGCAGGGAAATTCCCAGCTTGTCTTCCAACACAAGGTAGAACCAGACTGTAAACCAGCAGCTTGCCCACAAAATGGGAAATTCTCAGTTTTGGCCAGAGAAGACCATGGTCTTTAATGAGAACACTGCCATGCAACAGACAAAAAAGACACAGAAATGGGTGCTCCTCTCTCCTGATTTTTCTCATGAGAAACCTGAGTTAAAGCAGGAAAATGCTTTCAAGAAAGTCATGTCCAACATTGATTTATACCTTGGTCCAAACAGGTATTTAAGGGCGTGCCACCTCACCAGCCTAGAATTCATTAAAAGACAGTGGTTTTTGGTGTCTCCTGTGCCAGTTTTTAAAGAGCTTTCAAGGACTGGGAATACAGACTGGGTGAAAAATGGACTTGGACACTTTTGAGATCCAACTTGGTGGCTAAAGGTTTTGAAGGTCTCCATTGTTGCCAGAGTAGATGGCAGAATAACCTCAGGACTCTTGATGGCCACACTCAGGGGTCTCAAAACTAGAACACTCACTCCCTAAAACACTCAAAGCACCAGAAGCTTCCGTGATGTGCCTTGTGCCATCAAAGGAAGACCACGAGCACCTCTAATCACGATGAGCTTGAGATGTGTTTCCAAACTCCTATCCTTAGCCAATACAGAGTCTTTCTTAATTATTTTAAACACTCCTCCCCTGCCAAATAAAATAAAATAAAATAAATAAATAATCACAATTTGTTCCTGTAGATTTTGGCTGGAAACCAGCCAAGGGCTGAACCCAGGCTCTCCTCCCTGAGCCTGCTGCAGCCCAGCACCTTTGATTGCGTTCTTCACCATTTAAGGATGAGGAAAGCAGCTGCTTGAGGCCCAGCGAATTACCTGTGAGGGATTTGTTTTTGCTGCGAGTGCTTATGCCCTCACCACACAAAACAAGCTGCTGAAGAAAGGAGGGTACAGAGAGGAGGGAAAGAAAGAGAGAGAAAAAAAAAAGAAGCCAACAGGTTGATCTGGATTACATCAACGGTTACACCCTCCTCCGTTTAATGAACATAGGAGAACAGGTGCTTGTAATTCATTAGCCAACCCACGAGCTGAGGAGACAGGAATTAAGCCGACCAAACTCCTCAGCGTGCCACTGCTCTCCTTCCCTTTGAGGCAGCAGCAGCAGCAGCAGCAAGAAAACTTCATCTCTTTTATTTTTGTTTCTCCCCCTTTCCCCTCCCCTGGAGCTGCAGAGCCACAAGCGCCAGGCATGACTAACCCTTGTGAAGTGTTCACCAGTGGCTCCCTCTCCTCTTGGGAGGTGTCAGAGAAGATGAGCAAGGGAAAAACAGTCAGCACATCCTCGGATCGTCTGGGCTGTTGTAGTCCCAATGAGGTGGCCAGCAATGGCTACAGCTCTCTCAGCCTCCATGGAGATGGTGGATATCGATGCTCCTCTTACCCTTCCTTCTCCATTGATGGGAGACTCCTGACCCCCGTGCATCTCGATATTGACCCCAACTTCCAAGCCATGCGGCAGCAGGAGAAAGAGGACATCAAGTTGCTCAACAACCAGTTCGTGACCCTAATTGAGAAGGTAAGGTGAGCTTACTGAGGACCACGGTGCAGCATGGGGATGAGGATGGTGGTGGGCAAGTAGACACTGATCAGTCTCTCAGGAGACTTCTGAAGGCCTTCAGCTAACTATTGCCAGGCTCTGAATTACCCAATTAGTTGTTCCTTCAGCGTTATCTGTTTGAACAAGGGCTAGCATCATCTCTAGGTGAAGCCAGGCCGCATCTGTGGTCAGTGGCATCAGGCAGCCTGTGCATCTCCTTTGCTGTGCTTGTCACCCCGTGGGTCTCCAGGAAGGACAGGCAGCTCTGCCTTTGGTGACCCAGCCCTGCCTGAGCAGCAACGGCCAGGCCATAGAGGCACGGTGATGGACAGAGCAGGCCTTGGCTCCCATCGTGGACAAACAGCCATGGGTGGTGACACTGACTAAGGCAGCAGCTCAAATTCTTCTCCAACTGCTAAAGAGAACTGGAAATTCACCTCCACAGCAATGTGGTGGGCAAGGGAGACCCCCCACCCCCCCATCCACCCACCTCCCTTCCTCTGTGGTTTTTGGTGCGAGGGGTTGCGTGCTTAGCCAAGAAAGTGTCGCTTTCATCTCTGAAGATCCATGAGAAGGCAGAAAGGTTTTCTCAAAGGAAAAAAAAACAACTCATCTAGCTGAGGCAGGTTCCTGCAAAGCCCTGGTGCTCTGTAAACAGATGGTAATCTCCTCAGAGGATTGCTTCACTGCAGTCTACAATACAGGCGCTCCATGCCAAGCTGCCATGGCTTGGGTTTGGTTTGTTGGTTGGGTTTTTTTCTTTTGGTTGGTTGGTTGTTTTTTTTTCTTTTGTTTCAACTCTACCTCTTAAGAGGACCTGAATTCACACTGGGAAGGAGAAGGGTGAGGGAACCATCTCCCATCTATCCAAACTGAATAGTTGTGAACCAACCACGCCTACATGTGCAAACAGGCGTGTGGGTACCAGAGGGTTGACCTTGGATGGAGAAGCATCCAGTGCTTGGCAATGGGAATTTGGAGAACTTCTGGTGTTTGGAAATCACACAGGTGGGTTGTGTTGCACGTGCTGCAGGACTGGTCCTTTGACTATAGAGATTGAGAGCTCAGGGTTTGTGTGGATGTTAGCCCTGCTCAGAAAGCAAATCACAGGAGAAAAGATGAGGGTAGGGAAGATGGGACAAGACCACGCAGTGACAATATGTACATGAGCCAGATCACGTGCAGTAGCCTGTTCTTGTGCAAACAGGGATGGAAGATGTGAACAAGCCTCCAGGTTTCCTGATAAACCCAATCTGGTGGCCTGCTGATAAGTGTGCATTACAGAGCCTGATGGACAGAAGATACAAACACCCCACCTTAGTTGTGTGGCTTTGACTTTAGTGGTAGCAGCTCCTGCATTTAGCTTTGAAGGCTGTAGCTTCAAGTGGTACGTCAAGTGGCAAACTTCAGCCATCTGCCTCAGGCCCTCATTCCAGAGGAAAGTAATGACACTTCGTTGTCAAAGAGAACTTGTCTTTTTAATCGGGAATTCAGATGGTCTCAAGCCTGAGCGGCTAATTCCTCAGATAACTGACCACACTAACTTCAGGAGTTTGCTGCTGATGGTTTTCCAGCAGGCTGTTCCAGATCTGCTAGCATTTATTTTCCATCCAGGTATGTCCAGGTGGAAGACAGGGAATAGGCAAGCGATGGAGTCCCTGTTTGAGGCCCTACCTTTAGTCTGAGCAGCACAGAGGTAGAAGCCTCCCAGAACCAAGCTTTGGTCACTTCTGTGTCCAGGCATGATTTTCCAGGAAATGTGGCCAGATCTGGGTGATCCTTCTGCTGCAAAAGTCATGTTAAAAGACTTTGCAAGGAAGAATTTGTGCTAAGTGAGACACAGTGTAAGAAGTTGAGATGGAAGAAGTTCAGCCCAGTGGATGGGTCTGGTTTGGGAAGAGGAAAGAAACTGAAGAGTTAGTGAGGGGGAAAAAGAAGAGCAACCAAGGATTAGGAGCAAGGTCAGGAACCAAAACTTGATTTGAGAGTCAAAGATGGATTTACAACAACCAATGCATTCAATCCTTTATGGTCCTTGCAGCAGATGGGGAAGCTGCCTTAAAACAAGAGGCTGTTCCCTACAGTAAATCCCACAGGTTGATCCCAGCTCTGCTGACCACAACCTCGCTGAGGGATGCTCTATCACAATCCCCGAGATTCCTTGGAATGGAAAGAGCAAATGGCCTGGTAGCCCAGGAGGCCAATTACTTGTGCCACCTGCAATGCCCCTTTCTGGCTCTGCTGCAGCATCATCCTCTGGTTCTCAGCCTCATGCACACACCGTGTGCCACACGAGACAAAGCAGCCAGTCAGCAAACTGGACAACTGATGGGATGTCTATGGCCATGTGTTAAGATATCAGGAAGAAAGGATTTGGTTTCTAAACAGTGAGGTTTTAAAACTAAGAGAGGGGAGATTTAGGTTGGATATTAGGCAGAAATTTTTCACCCAGAGAGTGGTGAGACACTGGCCCAGGTTGCCCAGAGAAGCTGTGGATGCCCCATCCTTGGAAGCATTCAAGGTCATGTTGGATGAGGCCCTGGGTAGCCTGATCTAGTGGTTGGCAACCCTGTCCACAGCAGGGGGGTTGGAACTGGATTATCTTTAAGGTCCTTTCCAACCCAAACCAGTCTGGGATTCTCTGATTGATCCCAACACTTGCACCCATTCTGCTGAAAACTGACTATGAGCATCTGAGTGCTTTTGCTTTGCTTGGCTGCTCTCTGTTCCAGTTTCTCCCTGTTCAGACCGAGTTCTTTCCCAAAAAGATCCTGTCTCTCACCATGTGCATCTGTGCAGGGCTCAGCAGTTGAGAACTCCACCTCTGCAACACACCAATGTCATGTGAGGCCACAGAACTTTAAAATCAAAGCTGAAGACCAAGCAGAAGGTCAAGGCCTGACAGGATCTGCACCCCACCACTCACACCACACAGGGCACAGTATCAGCGTTGAATCATCTCCATGACAGAGTGGAGGACACTATTGGAAACAACTCACGAATCACCAGCCAAAACATGAATGAAGGAGTTTGGTTTTGTTCATGGAGCCATAGGAGAGAGAGAGAGAGAGGCAGCAATTAGATAATAAATTGAAGTTAGCCAAGACATCTGAAGATGAAAACTGTTAAACACTGAGTGTTACTGTTAAGATGGTCAATATTAGGAAAGAAGAGTGCCAGATTCATTGAGCGGTGGGTGGATGAAAATGTAGAATATCCTCTCTCAAGCAGCCAGGCACACACACACATAAACCTCACGTGGAGTCTGTAATTATTTTGCTTCTTCTCGGGAGTTCCCACAGGGCCTTGTCTATGTTGCTTTACAATCCAAGCCAGGACTCTGATTCATTACTCAAACTTCACCATGGTGTAATCCTACAGATTTGAGAGGAGTTACCTTTTGTTCGTGCCACTCCAAGGTAGTAAATCAGAATTCCATTCACCTTGGACATCTGCGCGTGACCTGTGGTGGATTTTCAGCCTTTACTTCCGAATGTTCCCAGGCAAAGGGGACCAGCATTGAGCACTTCTTATTTTTCAGTGACTTTGTAAGAGATGCTCATTCATTTTGATGTGAATATGTTCTATCAAGAAATTAATAAGCAGGCAATGAATAAAACTTCTAAAAGTCCCTATAACTCTCCATCCTTCAGGAGATTTCTCATTCCTACCTGGAGATCTCTACTGACTCCAGCAGCTTCTCACTACTCTGAAGGTCTCCCGGTCAATGTTTTCTGCTGTGCCAGGAGCAACCAGCTTTCAATTTTGGCTGTAAGTGTTACTAATGTCTCTGAAAACTCTCCTGCAGGTCCAGTGCTTGGAACAACAGAACAAGATCCTGACAACAAGGTGGAACTTCCTGAAGGATCAAGAAAATTCCCACTCAGAGTCAGACATCAAGGCCATCTACGATCAGTACATGAGCAAAATGAATCAAGAGATGAAAGCGCTCAACTACGAGCAGGAAAATCTCGAGTCGGAGCTGACAAAGGTCCTGAGCACCATGGATAACTTCCGAAGCAAGTAGGTGTCTAACCTTGGATGTTACAAGGGGAATGGGTTTCAAAGGAATCGGTTCAGCTGTGGGCACAGAGTAGCGGGGCTTTTATTTAACACAGCCAGCCTGTTATCCCCAGGAACAAATTCCTAGTTTGGTGTGCACAGAATCACGTATTTGAGAAGTCAGCATTCCTGATGCACTAGAGATGAAAGGAAACCCATAAAAAGTGAAATACCAAAGAGTGTAGAGCATCTGAGACCTGCCTCAGGCCAGAGAACAGCTCTGGGGAAGAGTATTATCAGGAATGACAGTCACTAAACCAGAGAAATATTTCTTCTCCACACTATTATCACAAACCAGAAGTTTCTCTCCAAACCATTTTATGGATCTAAGCTGCTTAGTCATAACAAACATCCCTTCTTTTCCCCCTTCACCCCATAACCTTTAATACAAAATTCTGCTTTGACCAAAAAGTCAGCCTTTTACCCAAAAAAAACCCCCTCTTGACAGAAAAACACTGAGGTAGCTGAAAGTTTAAGGGAGGACCAGCTGCCGCCTGCGTATCACTGCTTTTGCCAAGAGCCTGGAGATCTTTCAGATAAGAGCATTTGAGATGTGCCATGGTTCATTCAAGAAGACAATGCTTTTATTATTATTGGTGTCATTTGCATACCACAGATGAATCCACAATTAGATGCTTTCCCTTATAGTTACACCCAGCTGCCTACACAAGATCTCTTGGAGTCTTTTCATGCTGATCTGTAGCAAAGAGCCATGTATGGGCACTGTCAAACACAACAGTGATGCTAAAGGACCACCCTGGTGCTGGTATGGATGGACATCACTGTTGGAATAGCCCAAACCTGTTCCTGATGTACAAACTGATGCATAAATAATAACAGTGCCCTCTCCAGAGAGTTTAGCCCAAGGATCTTCAAGATCTTTGTAGACTTTGATTTAACCAGCTACTCAATGTGTCTGCAAATGAGGTGATTTCATACCTCCACTGTACAGATATTAACGGAGACACAGCAGTTAAATCTCTTACTGAAGCTCACAGAGTAAACTGGTGGTGGAGCAGGAATATGAACAAGGAGTTTGGTTCACAGAATCTCAGAATTGCCTGGATTGGAAAAGCCCTTTAAGATCATCAAGTCCCATCCTGAACCCAACACTGACAAGTCCCCAACTAACCCATGTCCCTCAGCACTATGTCTACACCACTCTTAATCCCTCCAGGGATGGGGACTCCACCACTGCCCTGGGCAACCCCTTCCAATGCCTCAGAACCCTTTCAGCAAAAATTCTTCCTCACATCCCATCTCAACTGCCCTGGGCACAACTGGAGCCCATTTCCTCTTGTCCTGTCCCTTGGTCCTTGGTTGAACAGACCCACCCCCACCTCTCTCCACCCTCCTCTCAGGGACTTGGACAGAGCCAGAAGGTCTCCCCTCAGCCTCCTTTTCTCCAGGCTCAACAACCCTTTATACTGAAATCATTATTCTCAGCACCCTTCAATACTGACACCTGGCTGACCAGAAATTCCCAAATTCCTCATGGTGGGTCTCTGTCTGCTCTTTATTTGGATGTTGGTTTCATTACAAGACTCAGGCTCGCTGATGCTCACTTTGCTGACAGGCAGCAATCCTGAGCTTGGATTAAAGCCACAATCTGGATTGCACCATTTACTCCCTGCCCTAAAAAGGTTAAGACTTGTCATCCCTCTCTGGAGCTCTTGGTCTTCCTTGCACTTCCCCGAGGAAGTAACTGCTCTATGACCCTGCAGTTATAAAAGATACTCTTGGCTTACTCCCTGAAGAGTCAGGAAAATCCAGATAGGAAAATGGTTGGGCTGGTGGAGAAATGTTAGATCAGTCACCCATATCTGCTCTCACAGTTTGTACTCAGTAATTGCCTCATTAATTGCCCACGCCTGGCACTTCGTTTCTTTTCCAGCCCGATTTCTGAAGGATAAAGGTACTTACGCAAACAGGCTGTCTCTGTGTTTCCCCCTTACCTTCTGGTTTTCTTGGACAGTTCCTACCTAGCTGGGTAACAGGATAAGATATGATGGGGATGCAACGTCCCTCAAATAAAATAAAAATTAAAATAAAAATAGAAATAAAAATAAAAAGAGACTGACTAGAGGAACAGAAGCCACCCCACACCGAAGATAAGGATATATGCACAGTACTCGACAGCAGAGAATCCACAATCTACCAGCTCATGAATAGCCCAACTACTGGTCTTGAGAAGAATTCCTGCTTTGTGGGACTGCAAAGTCATGGGCAAAAAGCGTTCAGAAATGACAGTGCTCCTCAAAGCACTTTTCATAGAATCATAGGCTGGTTTGGGTTGG